TTCAGACGTGTGCTCTTCCGATCTCCCCAAAACCCCAAAACCCCATCTTCTGAATTTTAGTGGTACATAGATATGAATGAACCTTACTAAAATAATACCATTCACTACCATTATAATCAATAATTTGCTTCGTTTTGAAATCTTTTGGAGCTCATAACTTCTCGTATTTCTTGTTTTGCTGTCTATAGCTGTACTATGAACCATTCTCTTGCTTCATTCTGAATTAAGCCAAGATAGACGAGAGAGCAATAAATATCATAATGATTAGGTAGACATACAAAGTCTTGTTTGTGGCACCTACTGATCCATTAAGGTAGTTTTGGTAAAGAATAAACTCATTAGGGAAGCCTCCAATATATATAGATAAACCCTAAAAGAAAAGTTATTAAAAGGAATTGTCATTACTCTTATAAACATGTAAGATCCAATCACAGCAGACCCGAGGATAACTGCATAGTCGAAATATACTTATGAAAGAACAGCAACTACTACTGCAAAGAAAATCACTGTTAGCCAGAGAGCAAGTAGAGGATTATTTTCTGTGTACTTAGCAACGACGCCAGTGTAAAAAACAGCGCCTAAAAGACCTCCGATCCATCCTCCGATTAAGAGGACTCCGCTCCTAGCCCATCTTTGAGTAAAGTAACCAGGACCTGAACCCATTCCAAGGCATACTACGAGTGAAAGCCAAACTGTCCACTCAGCTGTCTTCTTTGGATAAACAAATCCATAGAGGATGACCATAGCAACTGCGGTAAATGTCAATTGGCCAATTAAGAAAAGAGTTTACTAATGATATTTGCCACCGTACATCAAGAAGAAAAATCCTAAAGCTATCATGACAAGTGCAAATCCATTAGAATAGTAGTTAAAGAAGTGCCACAGAATTCCGAGTTGAAGTTTGGGACAAGCTTCTTAGGAAGTGAGAACAACTCTTTTAAAGCATTAATCTTTGCTAGTTGCCTAGTCTAGCTCATAGGTTGTTCTTGGTGCTGTCTTATCACAATTAAGCTAGACATTAAGTTTATAGTTTGATGTATCATTGCATTTTTCAGGGCTTATAAAATCTAAAGAGAGACCTTTGGAGGGATCCTCTATGCTTTAGAGATTTACTACGATATCAGTGAGTGAGTTAGTGCTCAGATGTGTGCATTTTCCCTTGTCATCAATCATATTTGCGAAATCTGGCTTTCCATCTGAACAAGTCCTCAAAGACTACTCGCAGAAGTTGAATTCTACTGAAGATGTGGCTGTTCCTGTTTGGTATTCAACTTTGTAATCTGCTGTATCGCTATAATAAGGTTAGATGCTTGATTTTAGAATGTATAAAGAAGAATAAATTGATGCGGAAAAAATGTGTTGAGCTTACTTTTTAGTTCTTGCAAGTTTCATGAGGTTGAAAATGTTGGAATCTAATTCAACACTGCAGCCTGATAGATCTCTGTCCTCAGTCATAATGTTTGCCAGGGAAGAGAAAGCGAGTTAAGAGGCAAATAAAGCCAAGATTGTAAGCTTTTTGGAGGTTGCAGTATTAAATTAGAGTGCCATTTATTTGTATATCTATACCTTAATTTTAATTATTCGGAGGTATTTTATTTGCTTAAATTTGTATTTTATAATAAACTAATCTAACATTGATCATCGGGGTTTTGGGGTTTTGGGGTTTTGGGGTTTTGGGAAGAGCGTCGTGTAGGGA